CTTGTGCTCAGGCTACCCAGCTTCCAGCCCACTCTTACAGTCCCTTTTCCCAGACTCCTTCTATGCCATTCAGGGCCACCCTTTCTACAAATCCCTTAAGCCCAAGATGCTTTCAGTGACCTCCCCTGAGCCCCCTTCTTCTATACTCCAGCAACATAGATGGTTCTGGTCTAGAGCTTAGATCTGGGGTCCTTGGCCTGGGCTCCACTTTACCTACCCAAGACAATCTCAGAAGGGGTCACCAAGAGATGCCATTTTAAAAAACCTCTCCTGTGTGTTCTCATGCCCACCCTGGGATCAAGAATTGCTGCTTCAGATGACCCTCATCCTCAGGCTTAGGGAGTCTTCTGTCCACCACTCAGACCTCAGCTCACAAAGACCAGCTGCCTACATGACCTGCCTCAAGGCATGAGGTACACCTTTCAAATGTGTGTTAACTGACCCATTGACTTGTTGGGGGACAGTGAACCATGCCTATATGCTGATCACTGGTCACTGCTGGACACTCATGGAGCTGGGGCCACACAGGTGCTGGCAGGTGATGACTGAATAGTCAGGTCTCCGGGTGACCTGGGTCTCTGACTGGGGGCACTACATGCCACCTTCATTCCAGAATTTTATCCCCTTAGAAGCCAGAGTTAGATGGTGTGTTTTAGGGCTTAAGAGCAATGACACAGCATCACATGGCTTCCAGAGCATTCTCATATGAATTATCCACTTGATTTTCATACACCCTGAGAAGTAGGCAGAGAAGACAGAGCTCTCATGAGAAAGGACTTATCTTAAAACCACCCAGAAGCTCACAGCAGAGCAAGGACTAAAACCAGTTCCTATCTCTAGGTTAGACCTCTTCCACCTGGATCCACCCCTTTTTCCCCTTTGATCTCCCTGCATCCCCCTCTCTCCTCAAGTGACAGCACCAAGAGCAAAGGTCTAGGACCAATGGATCAGTGCATGCCTTCTACAGTGGTGAGCCAAGGCTGGCCTAAACACCACAGGAGCAGGAATAAGGGAGGATGGCAGGGAAGGTCATACATAGCATCGTCATTCCCAGAGTCCTGAGTACAGCTGGAGATGCAGGATAATGAGACAGCTCCTTTTGGAAAATCCAATGACTATGCCTGGGAGGGAAAGCCAGGCCCTCAAGGAGTACTCAGGAGCAGAAACAGAATTAAGCCTCAAAGGGACATTGCTCCAGCTCTATCTGGCTGCCACAGGCTGTTCTAGCACCTGAGACCCCTCTCTGGGCACCTAAATGGGATACCATAGCCCACAAGCTTCTAACAGACAGCTAAGAGGCCTGCCTGTGCCAGGTTCCCCCTAGCAACTGTCAGTCTCAGCCCAGTCCTCCTCCCTGAGACTGACTTCAGCTGGCACAGTATTCAGGCCCGATGGCACAGAGAGAGCTTGCTAACTGCCAGCTCTCAGTGCCCCTGGCCCCAGGGATGGACAGACTGCAGGGACTCACACAGAAAATGAACTTAGCCATCAACCTGAGTAGGGAAGGTACAGGGCAGGTAAAGACAAAGCCATGAGTGCTCATTAATCAACTATACTATGAGCATAAGGTTTGAAGTTGGGGCAGACAGGCCATTTTCCCAGTAATTAACAATTTTATAGATGGGACAGAGTCACTGGTGGGGTCAGCAGGCTACTATGACTCTGACTGATCGGTCCAATCTGTGTAAGCATAAAGGATGAGTCCAGAAGAGGCCGTGGGCCATGGAACCCTCTAGAAAGTGTATCTGCCTCTTGTGGTACCTCCTAATGTATAAGGTCCCCCCAACAGCTTCCTCTGCTTGCCCCCATCTTGCCACCACCCTCCTCAGGACAGGAGAGCTCTAGGCCAGGACCACTCTTTACTGGCTGGGCTGCCTAACTGGTCTCCAAGTACTTCGGCACAGCTGAGCAACTATTCACCATGACTTTGACAGGAGAGGGTTTAAGGGTTTAGCAGGCACAAAGTGAAAGTCAGAATAAGGTTCCGGTCCATGATGAAAGTCTGCCTTGCCAGAAAATAATATAGAGGATATTCCATAGACTTGACACATTCAAAGGCCCAGATTCAAATATCCAGAAGAAACTATCAGGTCAGTATAACTGCATCAAGCCCAGAATCATCCAGGTTTGGCCTAGCCAGGCTCCAGGGCATTGATTCTCAGGGCCGTGTTGGGGGAGGGTAGCTTTCCTGCCTTCTCCAGTCCTACCAGGACAGCTGAGAGGGGCTCATTGTGCCTCACCCACAATTCTCTGGCCTCCCCCATTCTGCATGCCTCTGGCCCCATGAAAACTGGCTACACTGGGTGGGCCACCCCAGAATTGTGGTGAAGGGCTATGGTGCCCACCTGACAGTACAGAAAAACACCCCAGTACCCTGACCTGGGAGACACACAACGAGGACCAGTCACAAATCCTTTCACATGCATTGCCCATCTCCATCTGAAGGGTGGAGAGTCCTCCCAAGACAACCATCAACAGCCAAGGCCTCTTAACCTCCCTGGGGCAGACTGCTTAGCTCTGGAAAGGGAGTCCTCGATGCCGGCTCATCCATCAAAGACAGATGACTAGCAGAGCCAATGGTTACGATTTGGAGGATGCATCTTAAAGTTCTTGACACAGAAAAAGGCGGGGGCGGGGGGAGGGCTTTGATTTCCTGCTAGGACACAAAGTCAGCCAGGCTGCTGGCTGTAAGACCCATGACAGCACCTGGCTTGCCACTCTCTACTCTCAGATATGCCACCAAAACGTGGCTGCCTGTGCTTCTAAAACGGCAAAGTGATGCCCTGGCCTCCCCTTTCCCTCCACTCTCCAGCGCGTTTGCGATAAGCAATCTGTGAAATCAAGCCAGTTCCATAATAACTCTAGATGAGGAACGTCCACTGAAAGTCAGAAGGGGGTGGAACGGGGTAGGGAGAATGGAAAGAAACCACTTGGATTTATGTATTTGTCTCCATAGGCCCTCCCACAACAACCACAGGAGGTGACATGACAAACAGCACAGACAGCAGAACCCTCCAAAAGAGAAAAGTTCCAATTAGCCCAAAGAAATGAGAGCCTATTCTCAGAGTTCCAATTAAATCAGAACCAATCAATGCTTGCTTTGGTTCCTGCCATTCTGCTCAGGAAATAATGAGAAAAGTGAGAGGGCCCCAGCCAGCAAGTGCAGCACGGCAGCTCTTTGAAGCCTGAAGAAATCACCAGCACTCTTGCAAGCGTGCCTGGCAGCTGCCGCACCGGCACCTTAAAGAACTCAGCCTAGTGCCCGGGTCCCCACTCAGACCCTGACAAATGCCAACGAGGATGCCTCCCGCCCCACCTCCAACCAAGGGGAAAAAGAGGAGCACTGTGGGGCCAGGGTAGGCTGGTTTTAAAATTGTCTGCCTTGATTCATCAATTGATCTGGCACTCTCTCCCCTGTTTCCACACCATCCATCATGGGCACCATAACCAAGAAATCCAATGAAGACACAAAGGCCTTAGCTCTCCACTCTCAGCAGGCCTCAGAAAGGCTGCATAAGTGCCCCAGCCCAGAAAATTAGCTGAGTTCAAAGGATCGCAGAGCTGATGGGCACTAGCAATCCTGTGCCTGGTGCTTGGCTGCAGGCGTTTCAGGAGCAGGGTCAGGGTAAGGGAGGAAGGGGACAGGCAAGGACAATCTGGTGCTCAGGTGGAGTGTTGGGGGTGGCAACAGGGAGAATGATGGACAGGAAGCTCCCGAGAGAGCAGAGAGAGGTAATACATCTCCAATTCCAACTTTCCCCCAGAGGTCTGGGGCAACCTAAATGATGAGTCAGGGTCAAGGTGGTCATTTCTGAGGTCTATGTGGGAAGCCTTGTCACTGAAAGAGTCTGAAACTTTGAATGCCACGGGCAAAAGTTAACCAAGGAACAAAGTCTTGTCTTCCCCAATTCTGGATACCCCTTCCCATATGGAGCCTCCATGCACTTACTAAAGAAAGGAGTCATGGATTCACTACACCATCCTATTCATTCTCAGAGAAGAATCTCAAGCCAGTTCAGCCCATTATTGCCACATATTGGACATGTGCTCTCCTGGACTGAGAAGAGCCAATATGAGCATATAGTTCCCTGACACTTCCAAACTGCCAAGTTCGTATCATTCTGTATCCTTCAGAAGCAATGATAATACGATACCTGAACCACCTTCCCCCATTCAATTAGCTCATCCCCTTCTAGGAAACACCAAAACTAGGCCCCATCTCTGCCCCAGAACCTGGCATTGAGCCCCTGGAGGAAGACAGCCAAGCAGAGGGCTTTGAGTTAATGAACTACATGGGTTCAGGACCAAGTTGGGTGCTGGGGGAGCTGAATTGAAATGACCTAAAATATTGTCCAAATTCAGTCACTTCTCAACTACCCTTGAGTGAACTACCCATGTCAACTCAAATTCTCCATGCCACAGAGCATGATCGGGACATAATGCAGGGGTGTGTGCATGGGGAAGAGAGTGCATACACATGCAAGACAGAATGTGAATGTCCATGGTTATTATGTGATTATCTATCATTTGGAATTCTCCCTATCTCTTCCCCCATCATGAACACTGCATTCTGGTTGGACACAGATGAAAAATCATCATACCTACCACTGGGGATGTAGATTCTCCAGAGCTTTTGTGTTGTGTTTTTTTAAGTTTTTTTTTTTTAATTTATTTTTGAGGGCGGCGGGGAGGGGGGGGGCGGCGGACGGAAGCAAAGAGAGAGGCAGAGAGAGAATCTCAAGCAGGGTCTGTGCTGTCAGCACAGAGCCTGATGCAGGGCTTGAACCCAAGAGCCATGAGATCATGACCTGAGCTGCAAAAGTCAGATGCTTAACTGACTGAGCCACCCAGGAACCACCTGACTCCTGCAGAGCTTTGTAATAAGCCATTAGGCTTTTCTGTTCCTATATGACCCAGAGTTGGAGGTAGGGATAATTTGAAGATTGGGCTCTGCCCCAGGTGGGCAGGAAGCAGAGGCCTTAAGAGGCCCTAGGACTTACCCTTGCAGGCCACGCTGTTCTCAGGCTCATAGCCAGGCTTGCAGGTGCAGCGCCCAATGGGCACCATCCACTCGCCATCCCCATTGCAGTAGAGTTTGATGGGCACGTCCACTTCCTCTGCGTTGGGGATGCATGTCCCCCGAGCAATCACCAGAGACGTGCTCTCTGCCCCAGTCATGGTCTCGGGAAACACGGCAAAATTTTGCACAATGCTGGGACACTTCTTGAAGAAGACACGAACAGAAAGGAGAGACATGCAGGCTCCATAATCCTGGAAAGCAAGGTAAAAACCATTCCGAGTAAGAGGCCCAAAGCTCCTGACTTCTGTATTGACCTTCATCAACCTTCCTCCAAAGTCTACTTGGGAGAAGCTCTCATCTGCAGCAATGGTGTCAACTTTGAGGTAGGGGGCCTCAGACCAGAAGGCTGACTTCTTGGTGGCAATAACTGAGTCCGTCTCATAATAATACAAGTTGAAGGTCTCCTTGCAGGAACCTGGGACGTTTGGGAGGCTGCTGCAGTCTCTCACAGTGAAGCGCATCTCTGTGTAGATGCGATGAGCCCCCCGCCGGTTGATGAAGGTGGTGAGCAGCCAGTTGTTCTGGTTGGGCTCAAAGACGTTGCACACCTGGTAGGTGCGGATGGTGTTCAGGTTTTCATCGTAGCCACTGACTTCTTCCCACTGTACCAAGCAAGCCACAGATGCACACATGCAAAAACACAAAATAGAGAGTAAGAAGACAAAGAGAGGCAGAGCAGAGAAGCCTGGTGCTGGAGGGGGCCTTACGAGCTCACCAGTCCAGCCACTTGACTTGAAAAATAAACACACCGACCCTAACTTGTTTTTAAAGATCTCCTTTCATGGAGACTTCAGATACTACTCTGCTGGCCACCCTGAAATAGAACACACTTCACTTTAGAAAGCCTTCTTTCATCTAACCAACAGCAGCACTCCTGCTGTGACGATGACTCATCACATCCACAGGACAAGACTGCAGCTATCAGCCCTATGTGATGGTAGGTACTTGATTCCTGAGTGCCACAGCCTCTCCTCTCCACAGCCTGTGGATTAGGTGTCTGATTATAGGACACTCCTCACCTTGGACATCTTCATTTCCAAACCTAATTCTTTACTGTGGTTCCTTTTGAGTTGTGAAAAGCATATGAATCTAAGGCTTTCACAACCTCTCAACAAATTTAGATTCTCATAAACTTTTGTTTTATAACATCAATCCGTTTGAAAGAGCTAAACCATAAAACTGTAAGGAGTAGGGGCTGCTAAGTGAGATCCTTAAGGACGCAAATCAAGCTTCATTGGGTGCAAACTGAAAGCAGGGATATAATGGAAGAAAATGCTGGAGAATGTCACACAGGGAAGGAGAGCTTCTTAACAGAGGCGAGACTACATGATTCACACTGGAAAAGAAAACTCATTTTTAGCAGCCCTGTTGGTGGGAAGGAGAAGAGGAAATGACACATTTACTAAGTGGTGTCTCTTGATCTTCCCTATAACACTGAAACTAGATAGTATCACCCCCCCCCCCCAGTTTACAGATGAAAAGATACCATGCAATTCACCCACAGTCACATGGCCATAAAAGACAGGATAGAGGAGACAGAAAGAAGTACTTTCAATGGCCAACGAAATGCACCTGCAGCAGGGGTAGAGAAGAGTCATGGGGCATCCTCTCTTCCTTGGGCTGGGACAGGAAGCAGGTGCCTGTACTGTGAGCTCTCAGGACCCCGACCTCAAGAACTGGGAGTATTCCCAGGACATTTCAGTGTGTTCATTAAATTCTGTTCTGCTTGCCAGAAACAAATAAGGGACTAGAGAAATTAAACTTTTTTTAACGGTTATTTATTTTGAGAGCAAGAGAGAGATTGCATGTGTGAGCAGGGGAGGGGCAGAGAAAGAGAGAGAGAATCCCAAGCCAGCTCTGAGCTGTCAGCACAGAGCCTTATGAGGGGCTCAATCCCACAGACCATGAGATCATGACATGAGTAGAAATCACAAGTTGGACGCTCAACCGAGTCAACCAGGTGCCCCAAGAAATTAAACTTCTTAAATGAAGAGAAAAAGGAGGTGAAGATCCTTGACTTTAATATTTAGCAGTGGCAAAAAGTAAAAATACAAAATAGTATCTATTTCTTTAAATATTGTGCTAGTCACTTATTTTTCACAGTGTGGAGCTGAAATATATAAAATAGAATTCTTCATTTAAAATGCTGAAGTCAGGGCACCTGGGTGGCTGAGTTGGTTAAGTGTCCAATGTCAGCTCAGGTCATGTCGGGCTCTGTGCTGACAGCTCAAAGAATGGAACCTATTTCATATTTTGTGTGTGTGTGTGTGTGTGTGTGTGTGTGTGTGTGTGTGTGTGTGTCTTACCTTCCTCCACTTGTACTGTCTCCCTCTCTCTCTCAAAAATAAATAAACATTAAAAAAAATTTTTTTTAAGTTGAAGTCAATCTTCTGTGCATGGGGAATACACATAGTTGCTTCTTGCACAGAATTAAGCCCCCTGTAGAAGCAGGATGGCCAGGCTGTCCTTCAAGCTTGTGCCAGAGCATCTGAAGACCAGGCATGGTGTGTAAAACAAATAGGTACATGGAGAGCTGGCCCTGCTCATCCAGGTCTATAGAGTGACCTCATAGCCACTCCTGCTGCCTGGAACCCTGCCACGAAGGCACCTGAGTAGCAGTCTATCTAAGGCCCTTCTCCTCTATCCCTTTCCTGCACCCCCAGGAATCAGCCCCTTCCTCAGTCTAGAGTCTTTGGTGAGCTCTTTGCAGATCCTTTCACGTTGCCAAACGTCACCTGGACTTTGTTTAATATCTTACCGATTTTCTAGATGTCAAGGAACCACTTTTTATTCCTCTTAAAGATTGTGTTATGTTCTATTTAAATGTGTTTGTTAAAGTTATGTGCTGCTTGCCTGGGTTTTTGGGACCAGAAGCAAATATATTAGGGAGAAGTCGCTGACAGCTATTTTAGTTTCAATTTTCAGACCTCTCTCCTTTTCATGGCCGTTTTGAAATAACATTTCCCCAGTTGACCCTATATGACTTCTGAGGGAAGGACAGCTTTCTTTTGCTGTTCTGTAGGTGCTTAAACAAGCAGGCTTTTAGTGCATGACTTCACTTGGCCTGTGTGAAGTCTCAGCACAAACACAGGGCCCCTCTGTCAATGCACAGGTGAAGCCCATGGCCCCATTTAGGGCAGGGACCTGTCCCAGCCAGAGTAATAGAGCCACTCAAGACTACTGTGGCTTCGCTGTATGGGAGCAGGACAGGAAGCCCGTCTTTCAGGGCTCACCTTAGCCATGAGACTGTCACCACTAGCAGGTCTTAAACAGACAGAATGAGGCATTTATACTCTTGCGGAGCTGGGATATTAAGAACATTTATCTTAGAAAATGACACTGATTGGTATTATAAGACCCAACAGAGGTAATCGTTTCAAACATTAACCTCTCTGGGCCTCAGTTTTCTCATCTGTAAAATGAGGAATCATACTGGGTGACCTCAAGTTATAAAATCTACACAGATTTAATTGATTTCATGACAGCTCCTAAGGGAGCGATCAAAGCAAATTAGGAGGAATACAGCTGTATATTCAAAGGGAAAGAGTAGAGAGGAATTGAGAGAAAGGGAAATAACTTCCCTGTTGTTTGGGGAAAGGCCATCACGGAGCCTCACACTCATTTCTTTCTCTCTTTCATTCTATTGTCAGCAGGTACGACAGGGGTCAGAAAAATATGCTTACAGAGTGGGCTAGAGGAGGTATGAATGCCTTCTGGGCAAGCAGCAATTAGGACCAGAGGCCTTGAAGAAAGAGAATTATTTTGGCAAGTGGAGAGGTGGAATGGCATTCCCAGCAGGAAGGGACAAACACTGTGATTTGTTTGTGATATTTGGAATCAACCTCATTGCTTTATAGTTACACCTCATTCATTCATCAATGAAAAAAATGTTTACTGAATGCCAACTTTATGCCAGGCATTCTATTAACCACTGGGGATACAACAATATGACGCTTATAATCTAGTGAGAGAAACAGAAATTAGACAAACGATGATTAAAATAACTAAATAATTACAATTGTGCTAGCTGCTGTGAGGGAAAATTACAGGGTGCCTAGAGAGGGGATGTACCTGATACAGAGAGGAGTGTCAGGAAGAACCACCAAACTGAGAGGTGATGGATGGATAGATGTTAGTCAGGAGAAGTGTGTCCTTGCTGGGGCCAAGAGGGACAGAGAAGGAGGGGGGCATCTAGGCCCAGAAACAGCAAGTGCAAAGGCCCTGTGGTGGGAAAATGTGGCCTGGCACCATTGAGTAATGCTGCCTGCATGACTGAAGGGTCATAAAAAGCTGAAGATGCAGGAATAAGACTGAGGGAAGGGTGAGTCTGGTCAAGAACTCTGAATTTCATCCTGAGGGTAACTGGAAATCATTGATGAATTTTAGTGAGGAAAAGTACAGGTGATCAGAGCTGAGTTCTTAAAAGATTTATCTAATGTAAAGTAGATATTGGGTTGGACGGTCACCCCAATGCATGGTGGGGACAACTGGACACAGGTACGGTCATATAGGCAACAGAGGACAGTAGTTTGGACTAGGCCAATGGAAACTGAAAAGATAACCTGGGGTAGAACCTCTAGGTTTTTCTGAGCTGAGTGTGGGGTGAAGGACAGAGACAGACTTGACCAGAGCCAAGGCTCATGCATCCCTTCACACCCTTCCACCCATCAGGCTTTGAACTTCATTGTGTCCCTGCTCCCAGTTTCCTACCAGAGTGGATGTCCTACCCCGTGGATATGCAGAACTCAGATTCTTTCACTCAAGGCCTGCAACAGCCCTGGGCTCTGTGACACACTCTCACTGCCTGTCCCCAAGCTGATTTCCTAAAGGTTCAGGGGCAGCTTCTCAGCTCCTCCTTCTAGGCACCTGACATACTGCCTTCCATGTTCCTTTCTAGGATTATCTTTTCCCATTAAAATGAAGAACAAAGCACCATGATTTGCTTATCAGCTTGGCAAACAATTAAAAAGATAAAATATAAAGTCTTGGTAGGATTCTGGAGCGAAGGTACTAGCAAGTCTACTGGTAACAGTGTGACTGGTGGAATTGTTTAGAAGTCACACCAACAGTTTCTCTCAACATTTCAAATGTTGGCCACAACTCAAATAAGTAGAGAAAAGGTACATGATTTTTAAAAATCATTGTGATAAGTAGCCATCTGGGGGAAAAAAACATAGTTTTGCATCCATACCTTGTTTCTTACTTCAGGATAAATTCCCAGTGAACCAAAGATTTAAACATTAAAAGTGAAACCGGAAAAATACTAAAAGAAACCCTAGAGATAATTTATGTATAGTAATTATGACATGAAACTCAGAAGCCACAAATGAACAGCTTGATCAGTTCAGCTCTATAAAGTTTTTTCTTAAGAGACATAACAGAGGGGCGCCTGGGTGGCTTAGTCAGTTAAGCGTCCGACTTTCGCTTAGGTCATGATCTCGCGGTTCGTGGGTTCGAGGCCCGGGTCGGGCTCTGTGCTGACTGCCAGCTCAGAGCCTGGAGCCTATTTCAGAGTCTGTATCTCCCTCTCTCTCTCTGACTCTCCCCTGCTCACGCTGTCTCTCTCTCTCTCTCTCCTAAAAATAAATAAATATATATATAT